GTTGGCAGACACCCTCCAGCTCCTTCTGGCGGTGCTCGTACTCCTCCTTGGAGGCCTCCTGGTTGTTGTTCAGCCACTGCAGTGCTTCCTCCACGGCGTTGGTGATGGTCGTCTTATCGGACTCCTCTATCTTGCCGGCGACGTTGGGGTCATTGACGGTGTTCTTCATCGAGAAGGCGTAGTTCTCCAGACCGTTCTTAGCTTCGATGCGCTCGCGCTGCTCCTTGTCCTGGGCCTCGTACTTGGCGGCCTCAGAGACCATGCGCTCAATGTCGGACTTGCTGAGACGTCCCTTGTCGTTCGTGATGACAATCTGGTTGCGCTTACCAGTGCCCTTCTCCTCCGCAGACACGTTCAGAATGCCGTTGGCGTCGAGGTCAAAGGTCACCTCGATCTGCGGCACACCACGCGGAGCCGGTGGGATGCCGGACAGGTCAAAGGTGCCGAGCAGATGGCAGTCCTTTGTCATGGCGCGCTCGCCCTCAAACACCTGGATGTGCACACCCGGCTGGTTGTCCGCATACGTGGAGAAGATCTGGCTCTTCTTTGTCGGGATCGTCGTGTTGCGCTTGATCAGTGCGGTCATGACGCCACCAGCTGTCTCAATACCAAGTGTCAGCGGCGTCACGTCGAGCAGAAGCAGACCCTCCGTCTGCTTGCTCTTGCCACCTGTCAGGATGAAGGCCTGCACCGCGGCACCGTACGCAACAGCCTCGTCGGGGTTGATGCTCTTATTCAGCTCCTTGCCGCCGAAGAAGTCGGACACCAGCTGCATCACCTTGGGGATGCGCGTGGAGCCGCCAACCAGCACAACGTCGTGCACGGCGCGCTTGTCCATCTTGGCGTCCTGCAGCACACGCTCCACCGGCTGCAGCGTGCCACGGAAGAGGTCACCGCACAGTTCCTCAAAACGCGCACGGGTGATGGTTGCCTGGAAGTCCACATTGTCGAAGAGTGCATCAATTTCAATGGTTGCCTGTGCCGCAGAAGACAGGGTGCGCTTGGCGCGCTCGCAGGCTGTGCGGAGACGACGCAGTGCGCGTTGGCTGGTGGTCAGGTCCTTGCCCTTGTTCTTGCGCTTGAACTCGTCAGTGAAGTGGGACACAAGGCGGTTGTCGAAGTCCTCACCACCAAGGTGCGTGTCACCATTCGTCGCCTTCACCTCAAAGATACCACCGTCGATCGTGAGCAGAGTCACATCAAAGGTGCCACCGCCAAGGTCGAAGATGAGCACGTTGCGCTCCTTGCCATCCTCCACCTTGTCCAGACCATACGCGATGGCAGCAGCTGTCGGTTCGTTGATGATGCGCAGCACCTCCAGACCGGCAATCGTGCCGGCATCCTTTGTCGCCTGTCGCTGCGAATCGTTGAAGTACGCCGGAACCGTCACCACCGCCTTCTTCACCTGCTTGCCAAGGTACGACTCCGCCACCTCCTTCATCTTCATCAGCACCATAGAGCTGATCTCCTCCGGGTTGAACGTCTTGGTCTCGCCGCGGAACTCCACCTGGATCACAGGCTTGTCGTCACCCTTTGTGACCACCTTGAAGGGCCAGTGCTTCATGTCCGCCTGCACCACCGGGTCGCTGAACTTGCGACCAATGAGGCGCTTCGCGTCGAAAACGGTGTTGGTTGGGTTCATCGCCACCTGGTTCTTCGCCGCGTCACCAATCAGGCGCTCCGTGTCGGTAAACGCCACGTACGACGGTGTCGTGCGGTTTCCTTGATCATTGGCAATGATCTCCACACGCTCGTTCTGCCACACACCCACGCACGAGTACGTTGTGCCGAGGTCAATACCGATCGCTCCTTCGTATGTCATTTGGTTTTCTTTTTGGTTGTCAAATTAGATAATAGATAATTGTCAACCTGTAGCGTATTCTGCGTGCGCAGCAAGCGAAGAAAATAAAATAAAAAAAGACAGACAGGCAAAGGAAGGAAATAAAGAGTGAGTGGGTGAAGAGGCAAGAGTGTGCGGTTTCAGCACCGACACCAGCGGAAAAAAAAACGACGGCGAGAGCAATGCCCTCACAACAACAAGCACATCGAGGGCCACACAATAATAATAATAATAATAATAATAATAATAGAGGGGGAGTGAGAAAAAAACATAGTAGGCTTGGACTAGGTCCCAGCATTAACCA